AATTTTTCAAGCATTTATTTTTGCTTTATTAGAATATTTTTTAGAAACTTTTAATATTACATATATAGGAACCAGAGAAAGAGTTGCAATTTTTTTTCTGCTTTAAATCCATTAAGTAAAATTTCCATCCTTTAAACAAAACCATAAATTTTTGGTGTTATATTTTAAAAATTAACAATTATCAAATATATTGTACTTTTTTCTAACTATGTAGCTGTGTAAGCTAAATTTCTTCTTTTATATTTTCTAGTAAATTATCATCATAATAGACTGAACACACAAGAATTCAAGTCTTCTATTAAGTCAGTAATCCATATTACCTAAAAATGATGGAAAGAATGCCCAACTTTTCATTATGTATAAAGTATCTACATTTGGTTTTGAAAAAGTTTTTTCATAAAAATGAGATTTATATTAAAATGTAAAGGGTTATTTTAATTTTAAAGTTATTATGCAAATAGTACAAAAAGTCTCAAGTTTTAATTTCTAGTACAGTAAATATTGCTGGACAAAAATCCATATAATCAGAATCTATGTGTAGTTTTCTTTAATTTTGAGATCAATAAGGTTAGAGAACTCCTGCATTTGAGCAGTCATGTGAGAATATTCTGTTTAATAACTTCCAAGTGGGTAGAAAAGTATGAATCTAAACACTTTTTTGTTGTTGTTGTTTAGATGCTTTTTAAGAATTTAATTCAGTGGTTTTCAGTCTTCGTGCTGTTTGTTGATTCTACATGTAGACTCCCAAATTTCTATATCATCAATGGAGAAACAAACATTAACTTTTGCTGAAATAATTTCAGACAAAAGCAAATAAAACTGATGTTTAGGAGAACTCTCCGATTTCTTTAGGTTAGTCTCTTAGAAGAGGGAAGGGAACTCCAACCCATCCAAAAAGATTTGACACCAAATTTACCCTACTTACAAGATATGCAGGGATAAAGATAGAGCAGATAGAGTAGATATTAAGGGAATACTAACCAATGACTGGTCCAAACCCTATGGGAAAGTGCCAACCCCTGACACTATGAAGGATACTCTGCTAAGCTTGCAGACAGGAGCCTGGCAGAGTCGTCTCTACCCAGCAGCACCTCAAAACAGATGCTCAGACTCACAGCCAAACCTTGTGCAATGTGTAGGGAGTCTTGTGGAAAAATGGGAGGAAAGAGAAAAGGACCTGGAAGTGACAGTAACTCCACGAGAAAACCAATGAGCCAACTAACCAGGTCCCAGAGGGGCCTGCTGAGACTGAAGCATCAACCAAGGACCATGCATGAATTGGACTTAGGCCTTCTACAAAGAGTAGCAGATGGGCAGCTTAGGCTTCAGGTGGGTCCTCTAGTAAATGAAGTAGGGACTGCATTGAATGCAGACTCAATTGCTAGCTTTCTGATCACTTCCCCCTGATAGGACTGCCTTGCTGGGCCGTAGGGGAAGAGGACATGCTCAGTCCTGATGCTGAGCTGGGGTAGATAGAAAAGGGAGTTCCCCTTTTCTAAGGAATAAGCAAAGGAAAAGGTGAAAAGGAGGGAGGATGAGACTGGGAGGGGAGGAGGGATAGGGCTACAACCAGGATGTAAAGTGATTTAAAAAAAAATAAGTAAGTTAAAATAAAAAATGAAAAAAAATTAGAACATAATTTCTCAGCATCAGTCTTGATTTAGACTAGCATTACAGCAAGTAAATGAAATTAAATAGACTTCTGATTCTTAGGTTTTTTTAGTTAACTAGCTATGTCACATAATCAACTCTTATTCAAAAAAATAATGGCAATATGGAAGAAGTTGTAAAAAAATTAATATTACCAAGAAAAATTTCACAGGAAATTATATATGGTAATGGATCAATATTTTAATTTCCATAGGTTAACAAAATAATTCTGCCTCTCAGATTCATATACTGAAGGCCCTGAGTAATACAAATTCTATTTATTTATATTTCTGGAGTGTGTTTATATATGTGTTATGTATTCCATGTGTGTGTGGGTGCATGTAGGTACACATATACATAGAGCTTGGAGGTTTATGTTAGATGTCTTTGATCAATTTTCACCTTATATAGAGATAGGAGTGCTCACTTGAACCCAGAGCTCACAGACTCAGCTAGTCTAGCCTGCCAGCCTACTCTGGAGATCCCGATGTCTGTTTCCTGTAGGCCAGAATTATAGGTGGGCTGCCATACTCTTTGGGGTTTTATGTGGGTGCTAGGAATCAGAACTTTGGTCCTAATGATTGCAAGAAAAGCACTCTACTCACTGAGCCATCTCCCAGGTTGACTAAGATTACTTTGCTCAAATAACAGAAACCTAAAAGATGTCCTACTTCTTCATTTTGCTTGAATGTAAGATCAGAAATTAATATATTAAAGGAATATGGCTTTCTTAAAAAGATTTCAAGTATATTCTTTTAAACAACTACATAAACTTTATTAAATTAGATATCCAATAGTGTTTCCTTTTTATTTCTAAATATAACAAAAAAAATCCTGATAACTTTATTTACAAATTCCTTTTCCTTGTGCCTATCATAAAATTCTCTTCTAATTTTTATAGCACAAGGGAATATGTGGCTACAATCTACATAACCTTGTAAAATGTTAAAATTCAGATGCTTAGAAAAGATAACAAAATCAGTCTTTAAAATATTCTCTATTTTATCAATATTTAAAAAAAATTTGAGGGCACTAAAAATTTGGATTTCCCCCTTTTTTATTCTTGTTATTATTTTCTATTTCAAGCTTTTTTTGTTTGTTTGTTTGTTTGTTTGTTTGTTTTGGTTTCTACAGATTTTGCTGTTTGTCATACCTGAAATTGAGCACTGAGCTTAGTTGTAAAGCATGTTCATTTAAAAGAAGTTCTCTGCTACAGACTTATTCTTTCATTAAACCTGTTTTGGAATACCAACTTCATGGCAGAACTTGAGTGCTCTATAAACTGCATTCCTTCCTTCCTATTTTCCTTCCTTCCTTCCTTTCCCTACTTTCAAGATAGTGTTTCTCTGTGCAGCCTTGGCTGTCCTGGAATCGCTTTATAGACCAGGCTGGCCTCGAACTCACAGAGATCTGCCTGCCTCTGCCTCTCCGAGTGCTGGAATCACAGGCGTGCATCACCACACCCAGCTGCATACATTTCTTTAGAATCAATTTACCATTTCATTTCCTGGACTTACGCACTATTTTATTCATGGCAATAAAAGGCAAAAAGCGCCAATTTGTTAAAATGTTTGTACTTCCACAAAGCAAAAGGAGTGGCATTCATTCCAGTAAGAATTAATAATGAAATAATATCTGCTATAAAAATATTTCCTGATGAAAATAAAATATTAAATTATTCCACCAACTAAATATTTGCTGGAGAAAATTTATTCCATGAACAACTGTTATCTTTTAATATTTGACTGTCATCACTGGATTGAGAAGAGTGAAGAACAACTGCAACAAAACCAACACAGTATATTTTACACAGAGAATTCTTCTTTCGATAGACGGAGGAACCTAAAGGATCAAAACACAATCAAAGATATAACATGCAATACATACACATACATGCATGTGTGCGCGTACACACATGAAAGTGTCACATGATTCATACTGTCATTACTTACAGAAAGGAGTGCTCACATGTACATGGACAGAAAGAGTATCATTTTAGATATTACTCAGAATTAAAACTTACAGAAACAAACAACTAAAACCCCAATAAAATCATTAGGTTTCATCCAGTGCCACTTTTATTTATCTTTTTTTAAGATGGCATTGCTATGTAGCCTATATTGGTCTTGAACAAAATCCTCCTTCCTTAGCATCTTTAGTTTGGATCACAGATGTGTACTGCCATAGCTCTGTGGCTGGTACTCAAGCAGCACTAACATATATTTTATGTCTAGAATATTTTCACAGTTTTTCTTCTTTGAATTTCCTCAACTTTTAAGTGATAAAATTATTATTATTTATTTTGACATTTATCTAAATACAATAATATATAAATATAAAATAACATCACTAAGATTGTCCTGAGTATTCCATTATCTGTCATATAACATAAAACAAACTTCATAAATAACATCAATAATTTTGAGATAATTTCTAGTCAAACAAAATTATAACTCACAACTTGGAATTGAGGGAGACAGATATACTTGATTTTAAATCTGATAATGGAGAAAAAAGCAGTTTGAAAATTGTCAGGTTCTTAGAATAAATTTAGTATACAACTTGATATCTAATACAATGTTTGATTAAATAAAAGAGCAATCTTTTGATAACAATATTGGTTTCTTCATAAATGGAACTTGAAGGAACGAGTGAGTCATTTATCAATAAACGAGATTTTTAAGAAGGTAGACATAACAGTACTTAAGCTTGTTGATTACTTTATAATACACATACAATAGTCAGTAAACAGTGTCCAATATCCCTCCAACACAATTCAGAGACAAACTGTAAAAAATAAAAACTGAGAAACTCCCTCCCTCTCCCATAGGTTGGCATTAAAACTTTCTTTCTAACAAATTTAGTTTTGTTTTCAAATAATAGGCAGCAACATTCCAAGTTGAGTCTGTTTAAAAAAAATAATTTGGAATGATACCAAAGCAGTTAGGTACCCAAGCCTTAGTGTTCTTTTTTTTTTTTTTTGTTATTTAAAAATCCCCTTTGTCATAATATTTTGTCAATATTGCTGATTATTGGCCAAAAATACATTCATCCTCAGAATAGCTTTTTACACCTGTACTGATAAGTTTCCTAAAAAATAACAGGTCTACTACAAAGAACAGGAGTTAGAGACTAAGTGCTATCTTTACCTGTGATGCAGGAGTAGCCATATTGTATGAAATATCTACTCTCCAAATAATATATGCAACAGCTGCTGGTAGCTATTATGTACTCCATTTACTTTAACCAATATTTTGCATGCAATCCAACCTTGACTAGCAGGGGGAACATCTGTTAGTTTTCTCAGAATTCATAGTAGAGAAGCATAAGATGCAAGGGCCTGTACTTACTTTTGGTGTTGGACAAGAAGCTGTAGAGAGGCGAGATGTAGCCTGAGCACGGGGTGATTCTGAAGGAGTAGTGCTAAGGGAGGCTGTGTCTCGTGGGAGCACCTGAACACCACGAGAAATGATGGAGTCTGGAATCTAAACAAGAATGACTATAGTTTAACATTATGAAAAGGCCAAGAGCAGTCAGTACCTACATCTTGTTGTTGTCAATCTTTGCTGTTGAACTCTCATTACTGTTGAACACAGCTGGTGTGCCACTTATTATATGTAAGCAGATGTAATATTTGATTCAGACATTATTACATTTAGAGGTTTTTTTTCTGATGAATGAAATATCATGAAACACGTTAGTGAGTAGTCTAGCATTGTGGTTAGGAGGAAATATAAGTCATGCAATAACTAGCTCTGCCACTTAGTAGTTTGAATTCTTGAGCAAGAAACTCCTAGATTTGTAGTATTTTATGTCTCAACATTTTACCCTCTCTGCTTCTAACTGGCCTTTGTGGACATCATCGACTGTTTTGTGCTCCTTCATTTCTAGCTGGGTTCTAGTCAAGGTGAGACCAATGATTAGAGAATGAGGTTTTGTATTTATGTCCCTCACTTCACCTCTAGCCAAGTTCATCAGAGGTTAGATGTGCCTCTCAAGCACAAGGCATAGTTCTGCTCATGTATATGTAGCTCTTTCTCTGTATGGCAATAGAGTTCTTAGAATTCTCAGGATTTTTTTTTTAAAGCAAAATTCAAAGAGGAGTAGCAGGATATTTTTGTTTTGTTTTGATTGGTTACTAATTCCATAGGAATCCATATTGCCTTCCTGATTTCTCTAAATTCAGTCCAAACATATTTGCCTTTATTAAAAAAAAAAATCTCAATTATTTATTTAAGGGTGCAATCTCACTTCTGCTAGGACCCTAATAAGTATATCATTTTCAGCAAGGTATCTTTTTTATCAGAAATTTGAGAATAATTATAGCATCTGGCTTCCTGTATTATTTTGATGATTAAATATGATAATGTCCATAAATTACTTAGCAGTTTGAAACAGTAAATATTTAATAAATGTTGGCTATTAGGTTATATCCATTGAGAAGACTGATATGATTATCACTATTCCAAAATATATAATCAAAGTAAGAAATAATAGAGGTAATCTTAAATACAAGTTTTTTTTTTTTTTTTTTTTTATCAAATTTATCACTTCATGTGGAGGAATTTTAATCCAGCAATGTGACTGCTCTGGAAAGAGATCACCTCCAAAGACCTAGGTCTATGTGATTTGGCTAGAAATACAGACATGTTCTGGATTACAGTATGATCTGGGTAGAATACAGACCTGCCCTTAGTATACACATTTAATCCCAAACAATGAAGGTAAGGTTAGTTTATAGAAGGAAGCAGCAATGTTTGAAAGTGACATCTAATTGAGAGAAAGATAAAGTGATGAATTAGAGAAAGATTTGACAGAATACATTTGACAAAAAAAAAAAAAAAAAAAAAGACAGAGATAGACATACCCAATTCTCATGACAACAGGACAGAAAAGAAAGGTTACTAAAGAGCAGCTTAGGTAGAGAGAGATGAAAGCATTCATTTGCATAGAAAATGAACCACTCACTAAAGAAGAAAAAAAAGTAGGTCAAGACAGAAATTAAAAAAAAGAATTAAAAACTTAAAATTGAAGAAAATGAAACCACAACATAACCAAACCAATAGGATACAGTGAAGGTGGTTCTAAGAGGCAAATTCATACAATTAAGTGCCTATATAAAACAAAACAAAACAAAACTGGAGAGCTCTTTTAGCAACTTAGCAGCACATCTGGAAACTCAAATAATAAAAATGATAAATAACACTGAAAAAGTGGAGATGGAAAGATATAATCAAATTCTGAGCTAAAATCAATAAAATTGAAACAAACAAACAAACACAAAAGGTTGGTTCTTTGAGAAAATCAAGACAGTTGATAAACCCTTAGCTAAGTTAACTAAAAGATGAAGACAGATTTTCAACAAATGGTGTTGGTCAACCTGTATAGCTGAAGAATGAAAATAGATTTATATTGATCACTCAGAAGAAAAGTCTATTCAAAATAGATCAAGGACCTCAACATAAGATCAGATACACTGAATCTCATAAAAGAGAAAGTAGGGAATAGTGTTGAACTCATTGGCATAGGAAAAGACTTTCTGAACAGAACATCAATAGTACAGGCACTAAGATCAACAATTAATAAATGGGACCTCATGAAACTGAAAAGCTTCATAAGTGATACCATCATTCAAATAAGGCAGCAAGCTATACATTGAGAAAAGATCTTTACAAAATCCATGTCTAAAAGAGGGCTAATATCTGGTAATATTTAAAATATACAAAGAACTAAATAAGCAAACAATAAAACAATCCCCTCCAAAAACAACTCAACATCAAGAAAACAAATAATCCAAATCAAGTGGGGGTATAGACTAAAGAGAGTATTCTCAAAAGAGAAAACACAAATGTTCCAGAAGCACTTAAAGAAATGTTCAACTTCCTGAGTAATCAGAAAAATGAAAATCAAAACTACTTTAAGATTTCATCTTATACCAGTTAGAGTGGCCAACATCACTAAAACAAATGACAACTTCTGCTGGAGAGGATGTGGAAAAAGGCAAGCATTCATCTATTGCTGGTGGGAGTGCATACATGTACAGCCACTGTGGAAATCAGTGTGGCAAGTTTCATCAAGCTGGGAATAGATTTGCCTTTCAATTCATCTATACTGCTCTTGGGCATATATACACAAAGGACTTCATATCGTACTACTTAGACATTTGTTCAGTCCATTGTTGCTCTATTCATAACAGTCAGAGTTTAGAAAAAGACTGTATGTCTGTCTATGGATGAATAGATAAAAAAATGTGGTTCATTCACACAATGGAATATTGCTCAGCTGTTAAAAAGAATGAAACTATGAAATCTGCAAGTAAATAGATGGAACTAGAAAAAAGCCACTTGAGTGAAGTAGCTCAGACCCCAAAGGACAAGTATGGTATGTATACACTTATATATAGATGTTATATTTTCAATAAGCAGGCTACACTCTGTATCACACTGAAATTACGCATAAAGTAAGGGAATAGAAGAGAGGGTTGGAGTACCCTAGGAAGGGGAAATAGAATAGATAGTTGTGGATGGATGGGAGGGGGTACTTGAATGGAGGATAAACAGAGAGGAAGAGGAAAGAGGGGTGTTGAAAGAGGGAATAAGGAGTGGAACAGGTAAAACTAGGGCCATTTGAGGGTATGGAAATCTAATACAGTAGAAACTTCCTAAAATATATATAAATATGAAGCGGCTCTAAAAGGAATTGACAAATAACAGGTAAGATGGTGCCTCAACTGGACATCGCTCATCACCAAATGAAGTTTCTACTTTCTGGAATAGGTTACATCTAATCCAGTTATTGGCCAGAGGGTCCCCATAGGAACCCCAAACAATCCCAATTATTGACAAGATTATTGGTTGCTCTCCATAAATTCTCTAAGACCCTACTGCTGAAGATAACACCTATACAACTCACTGAACGAGGAAAGGTATAATTTGTCCCTACCTAAAGCCTTCACTTAGTACTGAGTATTGGTCTTGTGGTCCAGAGTACTGGAAAGTACTCTGCACACTACCAAAGGAGAAAGGTAAACATCAACTCAGCTACAAACTCTTCCTTCCATCTATAAAAGTAAACCTGTCTGTAAGATGCGCTAGTACAATAGTGGCACAATGTCTGTGGGACCAATCAACCAATATCTGACTTAATTTAAGGCCCATCCCATGAGATGGAATCCATCCCCTACACTGTTCAAGTGGCCATGAACCTGGGACTAGATATGCCAGACACCTAGAGGAAATAAAATACGACTATTCTACAACAGGAACATTGCAAAAAATGACTCCTAATGATTATATCCATAGGTTATATCCATAGGTCAGTGTCTCCTGGCCATCATCAGGGAAGCCTGCTGCACTAGATGGGAACTAATTAGATACTTAACAATTAGATAATATGCAGAGAGACCTTGGAATACTCAGACCCGAATGGGTTATCTCCAACAAAGACAACCCTTAAATACTTAGGGAACACTGTAGAAAAGCAGGAGGAAAGACTGAAGCCAAAGGGAGTGGTGGTCAACAAGGAAACACTGCCTGATGGAGGCACGCACGAACTGACAGAGACTGTGGCAGCACGACAGGGTCTGCATAGGTCTAGGCCTGATGGGTCTAGTGCTGAAAGGGGAAGTAGATACAAGGCCACAAGATACAAGATAGCTTTGTGTTAGGGAACACAAAGCTATCTCCAATTGATATTCACTTGCAAATTAATTTTTTCCAATGGAGTTGTACTAATTATATAAAGCACCTTTTAGGCTAGGCCACATGCCCAGAAGTAGATTGTCAACACAAATAAACTTCATGGTATTTTTGGAGGTTCTTTGTCTTATAATGCTTTGTCAGGGCTTTTTCCCAACCTTTACAGGTCCTTTGCATATATATTATGGTTTCTAGTTTTGTGTTTTTATGGGATTTCTGTGTGTGTTTCTGCATCTGTATGTGTTTCTTTTATTTTTTTTTAAAGATTTATTTATTTATTATGTACACAATGTTCTGCACACCTGCATGCCAGAAGAGGCCACCAGATCTTGTAATAGATGGTTATGAGCCAACATGTGGTTGCTGGGAATTGAACTCAGGACCTTTGGAAGAGCAACCAGTGCTCTTAACCTCTGAGCCATCTCTCCAGCCCCCTGTATGTGTTTCTTGAACTTTTTCTTTGGTTCTGTTTGTTTTGTCCTATTCTACTTAGTTTGTCTTTATGTTATTTAATTAATTATATTATTAATATTGCTTTAAATGCCTGTTTGTATCCTAATGAGAAATAAACAAACATTACAAAAAATCATACTCTTTGCTTAACTCCTTTTCTTTTTCTATTCATGTTTCCAACAGACGATATTCCTCTTTAATCTACACTCCTCTATCTAAATTATATGAAAATTATTCCCTCATAACAATGGTTTCCTTGATGGCCTTTCCACATATTTATTTTTCTGTCCTGATATATGTATTTATTTTTGTGTACATGTACTATAAGATTCATGGGATAGCAGAGAGGCATTATCATTGTTTTGAACTTCTCCAGAAGATTTAATTTTCATTAATGAGATGAAATTTCTTCTTATATATCTCCGAGGAGATTTTTCTCTTTTGTCTTAAAATCATAGTTTATTTGTCCTTATAAATTTGACTGTCAAGCCTATCAGTTATTTATTTTTTTTCCAGTATATATCACAAGTTGTCATCTTTGGGTAAAGTGTAGAAGAACAGGCTATATTTTCTTTTTGTTCTTCCTCTATTTACTATTCCTTTCATGCTATCCTTTTGAATCAGTTTTGCCTCCCAAGTATGAAACTTCATGGAATCCTACTAGATATACTCTAGTCAATAAAATACATAGTTAAATAATAACTGTGTTATGATGAAATTGAAATGGTGATTATATTAAGCCAACCTACTCAAACTATATGAGGGGAATGTCTGCTGTATAGTATTAGAAAGAGGGTGGGAAATGCTTACTAGGTAGGTAGTCTGAAAGTTAGGAAGTGAATAGTAATCAGATTACTGGTAACTGCTGAAGAGTCAGCATATTCATTGATCAAATTTCTCTTTTTGATGATAAGAACAGAAGAAAGTAAAATAGTAACAAGTACAATTCTAGCTAGGTTTCAAATTCTTTATGGCCTGAAACCAATCTATTTGTACTGTATTAAGAAGTGCTAAGAATATTAAATACCTTCCTTTTCTTTTATTGACTGTGAACCTTACTTACTCTTTCCTTTGGAGGCAAGGTATAAGGAATAAGAGCATCTAATGCTCTTATTCATCATTTAGCAAAGCAATAAAAATGAACTCTACCTAAAAGCTAAATACTTGTTAAAATAATTAATACTGCTATTACTAACAAATGAGTTTTAAATCCCAGCAAATAAATTAGTTCCTGGATCCTAAAAATGAAGACATCCACTTACAGCCTTTTGAAGCTATTTTCAAAATAGTTCCTCTAGAAAATTAGACCACAATAATTTACATCAATTGTATGTGATGATTATCTTCTTTCATATGCACCTCAAATGGTAGCAGATAGGCAAATTCTTGGGAGAACTGAAAATAAATGTTATTCAAATAATTCTTAAGAAATTATATTTTATTATCCTTTTAAAACTTACTGTCATTACTTTTCATGTGTATATGTTTGTGTCTATTTGTAGATACTGAATATGAGGTCAAATGACAACAGAGGCCAGAGGACTTCGGCTGGAGTTAAAGGCTGTTGTGAATTACCTAACATTGGCACTAGGAATCAAACTCAGGTTCTCTGAAAGGACAGCGTATGCCCTTAACTGCTGATTCATTTCTACAGCCCTCAAATAATTTTTGAGGATATGATATTATTAGAATACTGTAAGTTATAATATGGTTTATAAATGCAGAATCTTGAAATGATTTTATTTCAAAAGCTCAGAATGTTTTATATATATATTATATATAACATCTATATAATTGTTATAACAGCATTATAGTATATAAACACAAAAAAGACATGCTTTAAATCTGGCACCTTCACTCATTCACTAATATTTCACTAACATTCCCTAATATTTATATTAACCACAATTTAAATTTGCTATGAGTCTTTTGACTAACCCAAGTTTATTTTTATCAGATATGCCTCATGGAATAGAATTTTGTTAATTAAACATTTGATAGTGTTATCTTCTATAAGACTGGTTATGCTAAGTTTTTGGGTTTGCCCCCAAATTATATGTTTATAATTCTGAAGTCTCATCTGATAAATTAGTTTCTTTTTCTTTTTTTCCCTTTCACTTCATATATACAGAATGGATGGAAACATTTTTTTTCTATCCATGGTCTAAATTACTGTCAAATGATTTATATTTAATAATTTAAATTTTACATCTAACTTTCTCATGAGTAAAAAAAGAATCTGTGTTTTTACATGTTCACTTCTAAAGATTAATGATCACAGAATTTGCAGAATAAGATGTCAGCACTTGCAGTGAAAACACAGTGAAGGAAAACAAAATGAGATGAAAGTTCATGAAAAAACCAAAACTATTATAAATTAAATATTCGCTTGATCAAACTTTTCAGATGTAAGATACAATATACTCCCTCTAAGAGTCCATCTAAATTAAGCTAGGTAATGTATTTACAGGGTATTCAATAAAACCGTTAAAACAAACAAACAAACAAACAAACAAACAAACCAATCAACCAACCAACCAACCAACCAAACACCCAGACTTTCAGGGCAATGAATTTCTTGATTATAAAATTTTAATGATTGTGGAGTAATTTAGGCATAAAGGATACAATTAAATTTCTTGATGGGTATACTCAATGACCGTGAAGATCTTTCACAATAAAATGACTCATCTTTCATATGTTACTGGCCACCTCCAAATAAAGGAAATATGATATATATATTTCCAAAATCATTATTCAAAATGCATTGTCTTACCCGTTCATCTGCACTGCCTGTTGGATGATGGGAATAACTGATGAGACCAGGGATAGGCTGCCCATGATGTGCCATGAAAACAGCAGGACTGGTGTAGAATGGATGCTTCTAATGTATAACACATAACAATTATGAATACAATGAGAGCAAAACATGAAACTACATAAGCAAAATGACTTAAAAGAAAAAAGTGAAAACAAATGGAACAATGAAGTGCCAAAAATTTTAAATTCAAAGTGACAAAATCAGCTTTGATTTTATATGTTGTAAGTATTTTTTTCCTTTACAACCAAAATTGATGGTCTTTTTTACCCTTAAGATAAAAAAGAAAGAACACATAATGATTTTAAAATATACCTATTTTGTTAATTGGTGCCACTACCTAATTGCATGTTTAGGATTTAACAGATTATTTAACGACCTACAAACAGAATCAGGTAGTGTTCAATGAAAGAACCATCTATTTATTACCTAACATACTTGATAAGGATTTCTATTTGATGCTAGTCTATTTATTTTTAATAAGGAATTCAGAACTAAGCCTTATGAAAAATCTCTAAGCCCGATGGGCATCTCAGGCTTCATGTTGGTCCACTAGTTAGTGTAGGGGGGAATATCTCTGACACGAACTATGTTGCCTGCCTTTTGATCAATTCTCCCTGATGGAACTTCCCTACCAGGCCACAGGGAATATACTACATTCTAAAAATATTAAAACAAAGCAGCTGATTTTTACTAGGTGTAAATAATATTAGTCATGTTCTGTGACATTAAAATAACCAAATTTACTCAAATAGCTCATGTTAAACTATTTTTATTTCTAAATTAAGCTGAAGAAAATTTATAAACTTTGGTGTCATCTTAATATTTAAATTACTTTATTAAAAGGAAAATATATTAATTACTTCTCTATACCACTAGGATAATTTGTGTATGGCAATATTTGAGTCAATATTTAGTTGAGAAAATTCAAAAGCCTCTTAAAATACCTGTCTTTAAAATTTTTAGTGGAAGGTAATCATCTTGTTGCCTTGGCCTTTATGGATTTCTGTACCTTCATACCAGACAACGTTTTTTAAAATCAATTAATTTATTTACTAAATTTTATTCACTTTGTATCCCTGCTTCCTCGTCTCCTCCTAGTCCCATCCACCTCCCTCTTCTCCCTCTATACCCTTTTCCCCAGTCCTCTGATAGGGGAGGACTGCCTCATCTTCTATCTGACCTTAGCCTATCAGGTCTCATCAAGGATGGCTGCATCATTTTCCTTTGTGGTCTGGCAAGGCTGCACCCCTAGGGGGAGGTGGTCAATGAGCCAGTCACTGAGTTCATGTCAGAGACAGTCCCTGTTCCCCTTACTAGGAAACCCACTTGAAATCTGAACAGCCTATGGGCTTCCTCTGGGCAGGGTGTCTAGGTCCTGTCCATGTACCATCCGTGGTTGATGTATTGGTCTCTGCAGGACCCCGTAGGCCTGTTTTTTTTTTTTTTTTTTTTTTTTTGGCTTTGTTGAGTTCCTGTCCCTTCCAGGTCTTTCTATCTTCTTCTTCTTCCATTGTGTTTCCATTACTCTGCCCAAAGTTTGCCTATGAGTCTCAGTGTGGTTGATACCTTTAATCCCAGCACTTGTAAAGACAAAGGCAGACTGAACTCAGACAAAAAATTTTAAATTACTCTTTTCCAACTAATTTCAAGAGTCGTCTTAAGTCTTTTAACTTTTGTTTTCTGTTTCTTTAAAAATCTGTGAAGTTCTGATGTTCTCAATACACAATCATTGTATATTTAATAAAAATGGCAACTTAAAAAAGTTCTTAAATGTCACATTATACAATTTATCATTGTAGCTATAGCCTTCTTAGGTAATGGGATATCCTTAGTGCCTTAGAGTACAAACTAACTTCAGTGCTTACAAAGAATCTGTACCAGGACTGAGACAGTGATAGAATCTAATGGATATTCCAGTTCCTTCTCAAGAAGTATTAAATTTACGGGAGGACGGGATGGAGAGAGGGATGAAATCAGTTATGTATCCATGGGTGTTGTTTTTCACAGCAGACTTACCTTTGCAGCAATAGCTGCTGCAGTTATATGTGATGAGGAACTATCTTCTGTTGAAGCTACACCACTGTCTTTTTTTTCTTCTTCCTCTTCTTCACACTGAACCCCTTTGTCTTCTGTCTGTTTATGGGGGCTAGTTGTAGGAGGTGGAGAAAGAGGAGGTGGTGGGGAAGGTAAATCTTCAAGTTCATCATGCACCTCCTTTACTTTTACAATGGCATCACGTAAAAGGTCAATGGCATGAGGTAGAGCTGGCAGTATGAACTGAAAGCATTCCTGCCCAGAGACAAAAAGAAATAAAAGTTAGGCTTTTAAACAGAAATATAAAGTGGTGGCAGTAAAATTGATTCTTAATTTTGGACTTGTATTTCCATCCACCTCAAGAATAAGTCATATTCAACACATCTTTTTAATGTGAAATATGAAACAACCACAGTATATAGTATTCTCCATATGTTAAAGATTATGGTCCCTAGATGAATGCACACTATACTTTTAAGTTACAATTTTGATACTTTAGATTTAGTTATAGTTTTTAAAAAAACGGATGAGAAAGGCATTACCACTTTCAAATTTTTTGCTAGAGCAAGATTTGGATCTAACAAACCACATTAAGGACCAGATTTTTTTTGCTAAGAAAACATCCTATTACCATGAAGTATGACTAGTATAGCCATCACAAAACACTATGCAGTAAGTAAAGATAGAAATAAAGTTGTAAAGAGTTGTGAATAGAAATCACTATAATCTTTTCTTCACGTGCCATTACTACCTATAATGCATCCCTAAAAGACAATAGACAAGGACTTATAACCAGAATATATAGCTAATTATGTCTGGAAAATAGATGGAAGTCTTTCTCTTTTACATTATGGCAACAGCTTAATAAAGTCTAAGAGGTAAAGAAATATCTTTAAAAAAAATTAGGAGCATTAATGGCATACCTTGAGGATGCTTAATCTTTTGATAATCTTTCTATGGCTCAATTGTTTTAAAACAATATATAGTAGACAGGAAGTGGTGGTGCATGCCTTTAATCCCAGGGAGGCAGAGGCAGGCAGACCTCTGTGAGGTTGAGACTAGCCTGGTCTACAGAGCTAGTTCCAAGACAACCAAGGCTACATATAGAAACCCTGTCCAAACAAATGAAAAGCAGTATATAGTGAATAATGCTATCTTGATGAAACAGAGGTTAGATTTTTGTTGTTGTTCATCTTCTAGGAGGCTATCTCCAGATATTAGAATGTCACATCTGGTAAAATATTTTTATTTGCTGGGGATCTTTGACTGTCATATACCCTGAAAACTATTGATACAAAAGGCTAAGGTTGGCATTCCTCAACAGCAATTAACTGTATGTATATTGCTATATTGCTATACATCTAGAAAATGTGCATGAGTCAAAGTGAGAAAAGACAACGAAAATTCTTTGGTAGGTAACTCTTATGTACTGCCTTATGAAATTTTCTCTTCATAATTTTAGCCCACGTCACCTCCACGTGCAAATAATGAACTCACTTTCAATGAGTTCTGTGAATCTAGTGAATTACTATGTATTTTTATGACTCACTTGAAGTTTAAATTATTACTAGTAAGGCTCATTTTTTGTAATGTTCCAACTTTGCAGGTAGCTGAAGAAGATGAAAACAAATACTTCTTATGTTTGAACTACATGATCTTCGTAGAGCCTGTGATCTGCCAGCATAACCTATACCTCTGTACTGTGTCTCTGCTATATATATAATATATGTAAATATATATATTTAACTCATGAGCAATGTTCAGTGGCATGACTTCATGTTCAGGAAGAAAAGCTATGAAAACTGACCCACAGAAGACATGGATGCATGGGGCATATTGAAATCATTCTGGGGATTTAAAGATGTGTGTGTATACTAAAGTAAAATATATCAATGTCCACCTGAAGAACTTTCTCCTAGTATTAGAAATGAATGGGGATCACATCACAAGTTTGGATGCTTAAATTAGCTACATGGGCCAAGAGGTAAGTGGGTATTAAATAGCTACAGCAAAGAATGATGGGATGGGCTAACACATATTCATCTTCCTCCCTCAGGGGCATAAAATGTCAACAATAACTGTTCTCTCTGCCAAAGATTAAGTTAGAAACCACAGAACCCTATGAGAAAGGGGAAGCTCTATATACAAACGTCAAATTAAGACTGATATTGGTAACTCCTAAGGATACAAACAGGTTTTAGTATTTTTCTTTCTTTTTAAATTTTTTCAAAATAAATTACAGCTTATTCACTTTGTATCTCACCTGTAGCCCCCTCCCTCATCCCCTGCTAGGTTTTAGCATTTTTCATTCTAGGAATAATACAGTGGATAATGGAATAAACACTTCAAACTTTCGTCTTTCTCTTCATAGGGAAAAAGGTATGAAGGGCTCTTATATGCTTTCATAAGTGTCTCATCACAGACCTGGTTGGATTTGTTTACTTCTCTAGGAAAGGGGCATGTGGAAAAAAATCATAACTAACTGTTTTTCATTCCAAATGTACCCTTTTCCTCATGACATCTACACTTTTTTTTTTTTTTTCAATCTGACACAGTGGCCATAGCAAGGTGGGTGCCAGAACAGAAGACAATTTCTAAGAACCAACATGTTAAATATATCTTTAATCTTTTTGGGCATATCAGAATTTGCAATGTTTGCTCTTGCCCTTACCACATCTGGACAGGTTAGACTTGACAGCAGATGCTATTATATCACCTAACTGGAGAGACAGTTGACCAGTTCTTTATCTTGTAACCCGCCATACGAGCAGGAGTGGACTGAGTGGGAGGTGCTATCTGGCATGCTTCACCTATGCCATGCAAGCCCCACCTGATTGAGGATAGATACATACGTAGCTAAATATAAAGCCATGACTTCCTTAAAACTTTCCTATTTAAAAAATGATTATGCAGTTCTTGAACAAGAATTTTGTAGATGGCAATATGCTGTTGCAATATTAAGGGTTAGACCAATACTAACAATGGTAATGTGAACCTGAATAGTGATTGAACTTTAAGTCTCTACAAAGATGTAAAACTTTGGGTGGGTATACATGAAAGAAAAAGGAATAAAATGAAAGAAGAAGCCAAAGGTAGAGGAATTAAAGAAATAAATTATTTAATGAAGGAAACAATTTTATATGAAGTATCAGAAGAGGCTCAAAACAAGATAGGTAATCTTTACTATCACAAGTATAGTGAACACTTGAAATATTAAAGCTATATAGTGCTGATACCAATATTTGGAAATTGATAAGCCTGGAAACCTGAGTTCCATCATTCTAGAAGACATTTGGTTATATGATATGATGATGGAGCAGCTAACTATCACTCCAGTAATTCAGTGTCCTATTTTAATCTAATATCCTTGAAGTTTATTTTTTCAGTTGTACTATTTCTACATTTAGATATGCTGTAATATTGGCACTGTTATTACTATAGCAGTACTGATGTTGTTGGCCAAATATATTTGGAAAGCAAATTAAAGCCTCAAACTATAACAGTAACAGAAAATGATGGCCAACAAAGAATTGAAAATTGTTTCAGCTAATTTCTTTTATACATTAGTACATGAATGTATCACATAGTACAAACAACAGATCAACGTAAGAAATTAGTAAATAACAATTAAACTATGAAAACGCACATAATATGTAGATTACTTGTTTCTCTAAATCTAAAAACATTTCTGTTGCTGCTTGTAAAGCAGGCATATTCTCCCTGATAATATTCCTGCATTAAGTGATATAAATGTTAGAATAAATATAACTCTTCGAGTAATGTTAAAGTTTGGTAAAAGGCCTTAGCCAAACGCCAGAATATACTGTACCATATGTAGTACAGTATTATCACACAGAAAGAGTCTAGCCTTGCCTTTAGCTACTAGAAGGGGAGACTGTCATGCCTGAGATTGTCCTTTGCTACAAGATCGCTTAAGAATGTCAATTACTATGCAGGTTTGGGCATACTTTGGTATTGCTTTGCCTCTGAAAGATATTGGAGACTAAAGGGATAAGAACTAAGATTAAGCCACGAGGACAGTGTATAGTAAATTAAAGTGAATAAATAAATACAGAAACAAACATAATATCTCAAAGTAGATTCTCTAATTGGCAATATTTTATTTGCATTGTCAACGCCAGGAGAGTAACAAATTCCTGAATACACAGGAAGAAGACAATGTAAGCTCTGCATCTGGTGTGTTTACTGGTGTGTTTAATTTGTATTCTTTCCTTCTATAACCCATAACTGTACAAATATAAAGTGAAATTAAGTTCTATGGCTATTTCAAATGAATTATGAAATTTGAGGGTGCTTTTGGGAATATCTTGAGTCTGTGATTAGTATCAGCAGTGACCAGCTTTGTGGTATATTCAGCTCTTTGGATGTACATTCATTAAACCATATAACGTCAACAATGCTTACCTGAGATCCTTTCTTGCTACCAGGTAGGTTAATTATCAGAGTTTTCCCCCTTATTCCACACACTGGTCTGAAAAAAAAGAGAGAGTAAACTGAACAATTAATTGCAACAAATGACAATAGTACTGTTTTATTTGAGAACAACTATTATAGGAATAAAATGCTACAGTAAGAGATAATCATTTTTTATACAAATTGGACATTCTGACTGATATTTTTACAATAGTGGTTAGAATACTGGGTTAGAAAAATGTACAGAACATGGACTCAGAATAAAGTAGCTATTTTAAAGAAACATTACCCTTTTACAACTGCCTTTTTGTTTAATTTTAGCTTTTACAAATTGCAAAGGTTCAAGGGCACAGTGTATTAATATGTCTAATGTAGAATTGTCTCCTGAGCCAAAAATCATCATTAGATCAGATGTTTCTACAAAGCCTTTTGCTTTGTACAATGTTGAGTAAAATTAGCTAGAAAAGTGCTTTTGTTTCTAATAAAAGAATATCAGTCATATGTAATTGTTGACTACATCTACACAGATAAAGAAAAGAAAATTGTAAACCTTGTTTGTTCAGAACCACTATAACGTATGGAACTTTATCAGAGGCTTTTCTGGGAGTTTGCTGGATGTTGTCTCCTAGTTACATCAGAAGCTACACTTGTGAAGTCCTATCAACATGACCCAAAATGAGCTGAACGTGGAGGAACCAACAATGTACCAAACTGCATGAGGAAAAGTCCCTAAGGCCGGAACCTACACAAAGAACTCTAGACAAGTGGATGAAGCTGGGAGTAGGAGAGATGGCTCTCCCAGGGGAGAGTATGCTGACTGTTTGTTTAGCAAAATGGTTAACCCAGTAAACATACATCCAAGTAACATTATAGGGATCCACACACACATATACAGATATTAATGCAACAACAATTGATGAAAAAAAGTCAATGAATTTGAAGAAAAGCTGAGGTGGGGATATATGGGAGAGTTTGAAAAAAGAAAGGAAGGAGAAATGTTGTAATTAAAATACAGTTTCAGCTGGAAGGTGATGCACACCTTTAATCCCAGAACTCAGGAAGCAGAGGCAGGTGGATCTCTGTGAATAAGGCACCAATCTATTCTACCTAGCAAGTTCTAGGACAGAAAATAAATTATGTAGGAATAAACCTAACCAAGAACGTGAAGGACCTCCAAATAATTCTGCACTGGTACAGGACAGATAAAAATGCTATAGTTTTCTTTGCTCCTCATTGATCAGGAAAAATGCTTCTATACACTCTACAAAGCTCTTCCAGCTTCAAGCTTCAAAAACGCAGACTCTTTCCAGAACTGGAAGGGAAGGAATATTAGTTAAGCTTTGGCATTTTATAGAAGATAAAATAAGTTAAGAACACTTAAATGATTCTCTCAAAATGAAAGAAGTAACGTGCTGGTTATTTTTTTCTTTTGTAATTAACACAAGCTTGAATCATTGAGAAGAGGATACATTAAATGAGAAATGAGACAGTCTGTACACAAGTCTGTGGGGCATGTTTTGATTAATGATTGTTGTGGAAGAGTCCAGCCCAATGTGGGTCATGCAACCCTAACAGGTGGTAGAGGGTTATATAGGAAGGTCTCTGCTTTAGTTCCTCCTTTGCCTTGCCTTGATGATGGACTATAACCTATAAGTTCAAATAAACCCTTTCATCTCCTCTCCCCCACAAAAAAAAAAAAAAATGAAGTTTATATTCCCACCAGCAATGGAGAAGGGTTCCCCTTTCTCCACATCCTCTCCAGCATGTGTTGTCACTTGAGTTTTTTATCTTAGTCATTCTGATGGGTGGAAGGTGAAATCTCAGGGTCGTTTTGATTTGCATCTCTCTGATAGCTAAGAATGCTGAGCATCTCTTTAAGTGTTTCTCTGCCATTCTGTATTCCTCTACAGAGAATTCTCTGTTTAGCTCCATACCCCATTTTTAAATTGGATTGCTTGATTTATTGCTTTTTAACCTCTTTAGTTCTTTATACATTCTGGATATTAGCCCTCTGTCAGATATAGGGTTGGTGAACATACTTTCCTAGTCTGTAGGCTGTTGTTTTGTTCTGATGACAGTATTCTTTGCTTTACAGAAGCTTTTTTGTTTCATGAAGTCCTATTTATTGATTGTTGCTCTTAGAGCCTGTGCTGTTGGTGTTCTGTTCAGGAAGTTGTCCCCTGTACCAATGAGTTCAAGGCTCTTCCCCACTTTTTCTTCTAACAGATTTAGTATATCTGGTTTTATGTTGAGGTCTTTGATCCAGTTGGACTTTAGTTTTGTGCAGGGTGATAAATATGGATCTATTTTCATTTTCCTACATGTAGACATCCAGTTAGACCAGCACCATTTGTTGAAGATGCTGTATTTTTTCCATTGAATGGTTTTGGCTTCTTTGTAAAAAATCAAGTATTCATAGGTGTGTGGGTTTATTTCTGGGTCTTCTAGACTCTACCTAGCAGTTTATCAAGGCAGATGATGAGACTCATAAGCAAACCTTGGGCAGAGTATAGGGAATCATATGAAAGAAGGGGGAGTCAGTATGACTTGGAGAGGACAGGAGTTCCACAAGGACCAAATATATCTGGGCACAAGGGTCTTTTCTGAGACTGATTCTCCAACCAAGGACCATGTATGGATATAACCTAGAACCCCTACTCGGATGTAGCTCATGGTAGCTCAGTATCCAAGTGGGTACCCTAAGTAAGGGGAACAGGGACTATTTCTGACATGAACTCAATGGTGGGCTCTTTGACCTCTCCCCCTCCCCGAGAGAGGAGCAGCCTTGCTAGGCCACAAAGGAGGATACTGAAGCCAGTCCTGAAGATACCTGATAAGCTAGGGTCAGATGGAAGGGGAGGAGGACCTCCCCTATCAGTGGACTTGCAAAGAGGCAGGGAGGAGATAAGGAAGGGAGGGTGGGACTGGGAGGGATTGAGGGAGGGGGCTACAGCTGGGATACAAAGTAAATAACCTGTGATTAATATAAAAAATAAAAATTATATTAAAAAAGAAAATGAAGGACCTCTACAATGAAACTCTAAACCTCTGAAGAAAGAAAATGAATGACAAAAGAAAATGGAAAGATACCCATGCTCATGCATTCATAGAATTAACATTGTGAAAATGACCATTCTATTAAAAGCTATTTGCAGAGTCAATACAATTTCAATAAAAACCCCCATCTCATTCTTTGCAGAAATATAAAACAACAACAGTGATATCCTAAATTCATATGGAACCACAAAGGCTCTGGATAGTCACAATAATCCTGAGCAAAAAGAATAATGCTGGCGGCAATACAATTCCAGATCTTAGTATATATTACAGAGCCACAGTAATAAAAACAATATGGTATTCATACAAAAGACATACAGACCAATGGAATGATATCAAAGGTAAATATGAGCACATGTAATTTAAGCCACTTAATATTTGACAAAGACTCCAAAAGCAGATGCTGGAGAAAAGAATGTCTGCAACAAATGGTGCTGGAAAAACTGCATGACTGAATGCAGGATGAAATTAGACCTGTATCAGTCATCTTGCACAAAAACTAACCCCAAATGAATCAAAGTCCTAAACCTGAAACCCTGAAACGGACAGAGAAAAACATAGGCAGACATGATAACAGTGTAGGTAAACACTTCCTGAATAAAAAATCCCATTTGCCCAAAAATCTAGGCCAGGAATAAAAAAAGTGAAACACTTGAAACTAAAAAGCTTCTGTATAGCAAAAGAAAAAAGATCAACTAGTCAAAGAGGAGCCCACATAATCTTCACTAGGTAAGTATCTGACAGAGGTTTATTATCCACAACATTAAAAAACAAAACAAAACAGAGTAAAACAACAACAACAAAATCCAAATAAATAAATAAATGAGACATTCAACAAATGGGCCTGTGATCTGAATAGAGTTTTCAAAAGTAGAAAAATAAAATGGCTAAGAAATATCTCAAAATGTGTTTATCATCTCTAGAACTTATTGGAGGCTCCTAGCTTCAAATCTTCAAACTTGAGTACACAGGCGGTAATAATTACAGAAACCAGCAAGTTAAAATGGGAACACTGCCATGATAGGGGGCGTGGGCGTGGGCAGTATAGAGAGGGTATGGCAAGGTACAAGTCATCTGATCAGAGAAATGAGAAAACGGAGACTCCTAGGGAGTAGGTAGATAGCAGGATACAAGTGATCTGATAGGGGAGATAAAAAGGGGGTGCCCTAGGGAAGTTGGAGGAAGGTAATATAGGAGAAGGAGGGAGGTGGGAATAATTACAATAGAAATATCTGACAAAACCACAAAGAATCTATGATGCATGTAATTAAATTCAACACACACACACACACACACACACACACACACACACACACACACCCCTCATTCTGTAGAATAGGCTGGCCTCAAACTCAAAGATCTACCTGTCTCTACCTCCTGAGTATTGGGATTAAAGTTGTATAACTCCCACTTGGCCACACACATAGTTTTCATTAACTTTTCTCATCTAGGCTGATGGTGCTTCTTCCAAGTCAAAAACTACCTAACAAAAATCTTACTACCAGAAAAAGGAGCCCTCTTGAGTTGGTCAGGGCTGTCTAAGAAACTTCCAAAACAATCTGTTGATGTTGTCCCTGGTGCCCCTAGAGGCAGAAGTAAATCCTACTGCTCGAGACACCATACACTTTCAGAAACAGGTCTCAGAGACCCCTGAGCTGAACCTGAGTTGAATACCCCCTCTCTGAGGACTAGAATTCATAATAGCAGGAGGCACCAAGTAAGCTTCCGAATGAGGGACTCAATCAATAGTCCTACTCAGCTATGATTCCACACCAATGACCAAAATGACATAATAACTCTGTGGGTGCAGTAGTGGTACACATACCCTTAGGGTAACCAACAAAAAGCTCTGTAATTGGATTTAAAACCTGCTCAACAAAAGAGATACCATGCCTGTTAAAAGAAACCTAGCTATATACTCAGTGCTAGTAAAAATCATGGTTACTGGAAGACAATCTACAAGCACTAATTTACTAACCTAGTATGATCTAATAACAATCT